GGAGAATGGAGTGGTTTTGCTCGCCGATGAATGGGGTTGTTATTTTGCTTGGGACTTGCGGCAGGAAGGTTTCGACTGTTGATGATTTAACCCATTGCCGCGCACTATTGAAATCGTGCCCGGAAACGTAGATTTTTCTTTTAATTGTTTGGTTCCGCTTGTTCGGGTCATGAAGAATCGTACATAAAATTAAGCTACATGTTATCTAGACTGTTACGTCAGTTTTGTTCGATGTATTATTGGAGAATAAACGAATGAATGGATTAGTACAGTACGTAAATGAAGCCGTCGTTTGCGACAATGGGGTAATCAAAGTGTTGATAAAGCGGGTTTTATATTTGGGATTTTAAAGTTTATTTCTTGCTCCAGTTGTGTTTGCTGTGACTAGTGTAACTAATTTAATCGATAAACTAAGGGATAAAAGTATTTTACCATTTAATATTTCATGAAATATTGCATTATACGAAGTTCAATATTAAATATAAAACTTTATAATTTTACCGTATCAAACCAAGTGGTGATTCCCTCCCGAGTGCAAAGGGCTAATAAACTCTTTGTAAACTGTCAAACGAGTTCAAAGATCGGTCGTATACTGTATAAATTATTGTCTATAGCGTATAACACGTTGACTGCCACGAAAAACTCCAAAGTTTTACGTGTCACTTATTCTTTCGTAACGAAAATAAAAAGGAACAATCATCAATTATTTGGTACACAATTATTAGCATACACCACGATCCAGTTATTCACGTTATTAAACATTCTCACTTGATGACAATTATCTTACGATAATTGTTCTCAAGTAATTAGGAAGTTCCGATCATCGGTGACCGTGGCAGTCAACGTATTAAATATTCGAACACTGATTCTAAGAGTTCCCTAGTAATTCAGAATAACATAACACACTTCGTTTCTCCATTATAGATTATTCTCTTATTAAACATTCTCATTCAGCGCTAATTATCTTACGATAATTGTTCTCAAGTAATTCAGAAGCTCCGATCATCGGTAACAGTGGCAGTCAACACTGACTCTAAGAGTTCCGTAGTAATTTAGGATAACATATCACACTTCGTTTGTCCATTATAAACTATTCTCCGCTTTCCAAACGCTAAGAGCAATTTCACGTTTATTACTGTCGTATCGTAGTTTTAAGACAGTGAGACAGCGAGTGCTCTGAGGGTTATAAAAGAGAAAGGGACTCATGGAGACCAGGCCCAAGGGTTGGTGAGTTTTCCCGAAGAATGCGTAAGCAAGGATGATGGTGTGATGGTGAGAGTAGGGTATGTTTGAGAATTTGTTGGAAGTGTGAGTAAGAAGAATGCTTGTGGGGGAGAGAATGATTTTTAAGCGCGGATGGCGAGAGATTTTGGAGAGAGTTGCGTTGACCTGAGAAGAGAAAATACCTGTACACTGCGAGCTATATCGTTTCTATTTGTATTTTATTCAATCATGTATTCCTATATTTCTTTTAAATAAAATATATTTAAATTCCATTAACCCTTTGCGGACGAAGATTCTTTGAAATGTACCTTCAACAGGTGGAGCTAAATTATATATCAATTACATAATTGATAGAACAGAAGTAAACAACGTGCTAATCTGCTATTCGAGTAATTAAATCATTCTTTCGCGACTTAGTCTTCGGAATATGAAAATTTCATCTCGCCGGAACGCCGACATTCGTCTGCAAAAGGTTAATACCACATTACGGTTACGTTCGGAGCGCAACGGCGATAAAAATCTGGAGATTTCAACAAGTGTCCGAACACTTACGGCCGATAGCGTGTGGTCAGTTCGATGGAGCCCGAATGAGGCGAAGTTCGCCGAGCACGGTAGCCCGAATGACGATTACCTCGTCCCCGATTCATTCCGACACTCGTTCCCGATACTATCGCCGAAAGTTCACGCATTAGCCGCGCGTACGCGGCCGCGATGGAGTTCCGCGGAATCAATCGGTCAACGTCAGACACAGAAACTGACATTAATCGGTCGCGCGGCAGAAAGGAACCTCGGCAAGGCTAAGGAACATTCATTTCATCCGATCGTTGCCGGCGGAAAGTTAGTTTAACTGGAAGGTCCGGGCGAAAGTTTTAATTGGTTTGCGAAGTTATTACACCGGAATGAGACAGAAGACGCGCACTTGTTAGTCCGGCTTGGGAAACCCGCCGATTTCCTGTACCCGTTGAAAGAGTTTTCATTCGTATTCCGCCTGTCATCGCGTCTATAGACTCGCGGCGACCGCTGATTTATCGCCGGCCGAACGGGCGATCGATTCGCGACTCCTCGAATCGAATTCAAGCCGTGCTACACCGCATAAATTAACCGGCTCATCAGGAATGAGATAGAACAATCTGGACACCATTATTCTTTGGTGAATAGGCGAGGATGCGTGTACAAATTAGCTCTCGCAAGTGTAAGTGAGTCTTTACTTAACACGTTGACTGCCACGGTGGTCACCGGTGGCCTTCAAAATTGCTTAAATACGATCACAATAAGAAGACTGATGTCGAATAAAAATACTTAGTAACACAAACAGCTAGATAGTGTGACACGTGTACTGTGATACTAAGTCATTAATAATTATTTCTAATACTATTTGCCTTTGTTATGGAAGAATATGCATTGTTACACAAAACGTTCGGTACTCTCGTGGTAGTCAACGTGTTAACTTTTCACTATTAATACGTTCCGTGCCACGGAAATTTCGGTCATATTTTGCTTATAAACTGTATTGATTTTTTAAATAAAATTTTAAGTTATATCAAGGGTTTCTTTAATTTTATATACTTTGATATCGTTTCTTGATGTTCTCGGTGCTTTGTAACGTATACAGCTATTCTTAGTCATGTGTCCCTTAAAAATATTTTGTTACAAAAATTAACGTGTACCATATGTGGTACACATGGCACTGAACGTGTTAACACTAGAACTACCGAGCAGTCAAATTGACATTTTCAAATTTGTCTATAGGAATTATGATTCCTATAATAATAATAATATTAACATAATATTATATTGATATAATATAATAATAATCGATAATTATGATTCAATTCATGTATTACTACATTGATTTCCTTAATAATTTTGCAAAGAAGTATCTGTTATCTTTTTAATAATTGAGGAAGGAGCATTTAGGAATGGGTCAATTTGACCCATTTGGTAGTTCTAGTGTTAACTGTTAATTCTGACTGCCTGTCTATTCCTGATGACTGTCTTTTTATCCATGCTTCACAGGAAGCGTCACGGTGAATTTCCCCTAATAGGTTAAGCCGCGCTTTGGCGTTAAGCAATCAGGTACTGTAGGAGTTATTTTTGATTAAATCCCACGTGTTGCCGTGGTGAAGAATAAAAAAGAAAACAATTAGACTCACTAGATAATAATAACAAATACTTTATTATATTATAACTCGCTTTATTATATTATAACTCAACTCAGGTCACGCTCCACAATATGTTCCTCTCTACGATCACGCACAAAATGTCTCTCGCGCACGCATTCCCACTCGCTTTTAACACACACCCCCATTCGCTCTCACCCTTGCACCCTTCTTACTCGCATCTTTCGCCCATAGTCAAAATTCACGCAGTCACGTACACGCTTTTCTCACGGTCCAGTCGCACAGTTCCGGATACTCTTCCTCGCATTCTTTCAGCCACTTAAGATTTTCTAAACGCAGTGACACTATTTCCCAAACATCCCGGCGCCGGTCCGTCGCAATACGACCTGGTCGCCCTTACGTACGCACAACAAACCATTCATCCTACAATACTTCCGGTGATTTTAAAGCACCGCCCATTCCTTGCGGTTTTAGCGCGTTTTTGTGGAAAGGCAGTACGCTTTGCCGGGAGAGTATTCTTTAGTGGAAGTTTGGCAAAGCAGCGGAATTTCCTCCAGGTCCAAGCCTCGTGACGTCACTCGCCGAGGGTCGCTTCACCATGCCTTGTAGCCCTTCGGAAACTCATGGTTTATAACATCTGCAATTTGCCATTAAAGCCGTCTGCAATATTGTCGAAGGGAAAACAAGCTTGGCTGTAATTCTGGAACAACGGCTTTCTCAAAAGCAGCCTCGTTGACCTGCTTGTCGTAAACCATACTAGCCGTCTGCACGCAAAATGTTTCTCCGTGTCGTGCTTGCTAAACGCTCCATTTCCATCAATGTCTCAATTTCATCTTTGACGTTTAGAAACTAATTTCTATATTCACACATTTTACGTCTTTCCTTAATACGTTCGCGGACGTGAACGCTATAGCATTCATTTTCATTGCGATGCACAGTGACATGAATACTATAACATTGAAATTCATAAGCCATATTGTCATAAATTTCATTCTATACAGCCTTAACTTTTTGAAATTAATGTGCACTTTAATCTTTGGAGTACGGCATTTGCATTTTCCCTACTTTAGCGGCTCGTTGAAATTTCTACTTTCCATTTATTGAAAAGACGGATGCTTCTTCGCTGAATTATTGAAGAAATTGACTTAGTAACACGCAAATTGAATCACAAGTAAATGGAAATCTCAATAGCTGCAATCGTACAGTCCCTACAGGAAAATTTAGAAACTGCAATTTGACTGCTCGGTAGTTCCAGTGTTAAAGATTCGACGAAATTCCTGAACAACTCAAAAGAAACAATGGGAAAACTGCGTTTCTGGGCATGACTTCAAAACTAAAACTGTGCAGCAATAGGTTCACCAGTTAACAGTGACGTAATCGTAAAGCTTGACATGATACTAATTCTTTCAGTTATGAATTCTTCATTTTTTCATATAAACATGTAATTCTTCTTTGTTCCGCTTTGATCTTTTATTAAAATATACTACGCGCATTCGTCCTGCGTTCGACGAATATACGCTCCATTTTTCGATTTTATTGCTCGCTGAACCAGAGGTTTTTCCAAATAAATTCCACAGTTAACTAGTTAAGAAATAAAGAAACCCACACTGCTAACGATCCAATCGATTCAATTAACGATTCGTTGATCACACTCACCCGTGTACCTGTAGATGGAGTTGACGCGCTGCACGTGGCGGGTCATCACCTCGATGCACGCCTCCTCGGACTTGTAATGATTGTAGAACGTGTGATCGGCCTGCAGGTACAGCATGCAGGTGGTTTTTTTCGGGTCCACGGAGGTTCGTTTCCGCAGCAGCCTCGAATACCGTGCTCTGTACAACCTGCCCGAAAAATGAGAAGGGATTGTTATTCAACAATTCCGTTCCGGACAAGGGATCTCCGGTCCTCGTTCTCCCTCTCCCTCTCACCCCCCTCTCCGCCTCTCTTTCTCCGTTTGTTTGATCAAGAGAACCAGCGAAGTTTCTACGGAGAAATGTTGACACGGTCAATTTAACGGGGCGTTTCACTTTATTCCGCTTCAAACGAATTCCCGCTGATACCGCGCGATTGCATATTTCATTTTATTCCATTTCAGGAACACTCCGCGCGAGACCGTTCCGCTCTCACGCGTCTCTGCCGCTCTGCTCCCCGCAGAAATTGAATTTTTTTTTCCCGAATTAAACCGGAAGAGAAAGCGAAACCGGCGGAAGAGAACGGGACCACGGTTCAGGCGTAAAATAACAAAATTCCGAAAGTTCAAAGGCGCGCGCGACGGGGTACGTCCAATTTAGATTTTCGAACCTTCGCGCGTCAACCGGGGAACGAAACAAAACGACCTACAGTGGCAACAATGCTCGCTGGAGGGGGAAGAGAGAAAGAGAGAAAGAGAGAGATAGAAGGAAAAAGGATATTTTACGCGAGCGTCGAACACATCGATACGTGATCCGCGGTCGTACAACAACTCGAGGCTCTTTGACAAGAGCCGACGGCGGAAACGGGCTGATAAGGGTGCGCCCTGGTTAAATTGGATCGGCGATAATGGTGTTTGCTTTCGATTTTTGACGTTTCCATCGGGCCCGGCTGATAATCTGGTCGTTTTCTCTGTCGGGGATCGGTGTACTCTTTAAACGGGCTGCAAGCATTGCACGGCAAACAATCCGGCGAATCGACGGGACGATAAGTAACCGTTGTGCTTTTCTTGAGCGAGCGCCCCTTCGGAGGGCGAGTTTCTCTCGAGCTGGCTTTCGAGGTCCTGCTAGAATATTTCATCGACGTGTTCAGCCGGATGAGGTAAATGGAACTAGAGTGGAAGCGTTAAACTGCCCGGGGAAGACGGAAGGCGAGCCGGGCGCTGGAAAAAGTCTGATCGCGAATGAACGGCCGTGTAAAGCTTTTAGGGGCTATGGAACTTTTTGTTTTCAAGAGCTTCCGACCGTGGAGGGGTTCAATTAGTTTCATGGTGGATGTGCGCTGGTTAGGAGTGTAACTGGAGTTCGTCCGCGGGCTGACGAGTGGAATAGGATTGTTAGTGGATAGGAAGATTTTCTGGATAGACCCTTTTTGCTATCCGCCGGGGTGGAATGTAGATTTGTCTAGATGCTCGCCGGAGAAAAAGAAGATTGGTGGGTGTACGTGTTCCTGGTATGGCGAGTGAAATAGATGAGGCTTTCGGATTTCGAGTGGAATGGGTGTGTCACTGGTTAGACGTGTTTTTGTAGGTAGAATGGAATGATTTTGTTATTGGATGAAGAGGCTTATTTTGGAGTACAGTATTATAAGCTTGTTACTGGTTAGACGAGGAATGTTGTTGAGGAATCAGTTGTGGAAGTACAATAAGTGGTTCACTGGGTAGAAATGTTTTTGTAGGTAGAATGGAATGATTTTGTTATTGGATGAAGGGGCTTATTTGGGAGTACAGTAGTATAAGCTTGTTACTGGTTAGACGAGGAATATAGTTGAGGAATCAGTTGTGGAAGTACAATAAGTGGTTCACTGGGTAGACATTTTTTTGTAGGTAGAATGGAATGATTTTGTTATTGGATGGAGGGGCTTATTTTGGAGTATAGTAGTATAAGCTTGTTACTGGTTAGACGAGGAATATTGTTGAGGATATAGGATAGACAAATAGAACAGGTTTGTTTACCGCCATACAAGTAGAATAATTTCGTCAGGAGGTACAGAAGCGGAAGAATCATTAACATGGTCAAAATGAGTGAATCACCTGAGCTGTAAAGGAAACATGTTTCCTTTCAGCGAACAGGATTCTATACAACGTCTATGTGAACGGCTGCATCGTGTTATCGATCAGACAAGTGGAATAGGCGAGGAATGCAGGTCACACTCCCTGAATGCGAGTAGTATAGATCAATCAATAGCGATTCCGACTGTATGATGCATTATGCAGTACTCATCGGAGAACCAAATTAAATTAATATTCTTACAACACGAACATTGTAAAACACGGACTTACCTTCTCACACTAAGAATTCATTCATTAATAATACAAAATCGCTAGAAAACTACGAATACAAAATACTCCGGAAATCTCACGAGTATACAGTGGACTTTATCAATGAAAAATGCACTAGAACAAAAACTAAAGAAATATTCTCCAAAACTCAAGAACACCATCATTCCTTCTTCAACTTATTAATACTTTGTGGACGAACGTTGGCATTGAGATGAAATGTTCATATTTGGAATACTAAATTGTAAATAAATGATATAATTACTCGAACAGCAAGAGATCAGTGTATAGTTTCCTTTTTTCCTATTCCTCAAGCATTTGATGTACAATCTAGCTTCCTATGTCTGAAGTTTCATGGGCTTTAACTAGTTAACTGTGGGATTTAGTTGGAATAGCCTCTGGTTCTGTGCGTAATAAAATCGAAAAATGGAGCGTGTACTCGTTGAACGCAGGACGAATGCACGTAGAATATATTTTAATGAAAGATCACAGCGAAAGAAAGAAGAATTACACGTTTATGTGAAAAAATAAAGAATTCGTCGGTGAAAGAATTAGTATCATGTCAAGCTTTACGATGACATGTATTCTCGTCAAACACAGTTAACTGGTTAAGACATTCAATTCCGCACGATTTCATAGAGCAAAATCCAGAAAATCGGAAAATATAATATTAAGTCATTTGTTTGAATCGCATTATTACTATAGCATCACCTAGCTGATTATCACCGCATTAGGTAGCATTACTTATAATATACAAATGTTTCCAAACAATCATCGTTTAATCGAATGAACTACAGTAATCCGACTTAGTTGGGGTCACCGGTGACCCCATGACACCCAACGTAACACTAAAACTACCGAGCAGTTAAACTGACTTCTTCAACTTTCTCCATAGAAACTCCAAGAGTACATCCATGGAGACTTTAATGAATTTACAATTCGGTTTGTATATTGCTACATCAATTTCTTTAATAATTTCTCAAAGGAACACCTGTAATTTTCTAATAGTTCGACAAAGAAATCAGGAATGGGTCATTTTAATACATTACGTACCGGCTAATTTTCAGAAAACTGAATTGTGCGGATGAAAATTTTCACTGAGGTCAACTTATATCACTATACATAGAAAAACTCAGATATCATATTGTTACGTAATATATTTTAAATAGATAATCAGTTCGAATGAAATTTCATATTTCTTCAACGCTGTGGTAATTAGCGAAGTTGCATAGCGAAGTATCTTTACATAAAAACGAAATTTCTCGTTACCGGTAAGCAATGTGTTAACTCATCCGGTAGTTTCAGTGTTAAAGAGTCTTCGTCCACAAAGAGTTAATTCGTCCAACACTACCTTCCGGATTCCCATCGCTAAAAGATTCTGTTCTGAAATCTCCCGAAAATCCACTGTCGACTCGCGAGACGTCCCCAAGATTCAAATGCACGGTTCGCAGTCGCCCAGACCCGGTCGGGATCGATATACAATTTTACCTGTCGAGTAGCTCCAAATTGTGCGAGCTCGCCATGGGGTCTTTCTTCCGCGCGTCCTGCGGATAGAAGCCCGGCTTCGGCCGGGACTTCCCCTCGTTCTGGTGTTGATAAAGCGGCCGCATTGTGTCCCCGAGATATCCACTCCACGTCCTGTTCGTCCTGCAAACGATTTTTCGCCGGTAAGCGTCCAGGAAACTACGGCCCCGGCCCAGTGAATCCCTCACGGTGAGCTGATCAGCTCCGCTGGCCCGGGGATAAACGGGAGAAATGGCCGGCGGTGCGGGCGCCGCAGATAAGGGTGACATATGTCGAATAATACGTAACAGCCCGGCAACCAATTTACTTTCGTAATCGTTTTCACCGAGACTTCCATCCCTTGCCGCGGGAAACGGGCTTCCGGTTCGAGGCCGCGCGCGTCTGAACGCGCAAGACCCGTTTAAC